TCAAGAGAGTTTCGATTCATTCTTTTTCCAAACTGTGGTTCTTTTGATACTCTTATCTTTCCAAGACAAATATATCTGCTTCAGGTCTCACAGCTTTTGCGTGTGTTGTGTCAGAGTAAAAACCAAGCCATGAAATTAAGGGAATCGTCTGTCAACCTTCAGGCTGGAATTGTGTTGAGGCACAGATCTGGGGAACAATACAAGAAAAATTCTTCTGCGTTTACTGTGCCCAGAAGCACAGTCTCCTCCATCACTGTAAAATGGAATGGAACCATCAATGGAATGGAACAGGCTCGAGGCTGCGCAGCAATCAAGGAAGAAACCAGAGGCACTTTATGAAAGACAGGCACTCGTGCAGCACTCCACCAGTCAGGCCATTGGAACTGAGAGGCCAGACAGACATCATGCGTGTCTGAAAAGCCAGACTGAAGCCACAAAAAGTGCCGTAATGACCATTTGGATACAAGTCTATGAGGCGTACATGGGAAACGGAGCCTCACCTTGTTAAAATCGTCTCTGTAGTTAAACTATGATGATTCCAGAATTTTGGTTTCCATAAACGACAAATACAAAAAAAAAATAGTCAGAACAGTCCAGATAGCTCAGTGTTTTAGCAGTGCTTCATATTAATCATAAATTTAAGTTGACACACTGTTAAAGAAGGGTATTAGTTTTCAATAATGTAGCTTTCTGATTTGTATGTGATTATGACACAACTTGTCACATTTAAATCTTAAATTAATATTTTTAATACTCTGATAATTAGCACAATATGGCTCAGTACTGCACTCTCACCTGCCTATACAGATTTACTTAGAATGTAATAAGATCTATGAAGCATATCAACAAATCATAAACAGTAATCTGAAGCTCATTTAAAGATTTTTTTATCTTCTTGCAGCTAATATTAAATGTAAAAGAACTCCCGTATTTTAAATGAAAATGTCTTTTTTATAAATAATTCTTGGAGATGTGAGCAGCATATTAAAGTAGGGTTGGGCGATATTGGCAAAAAAATCAATCACTATTAATTGTGGTATTTAGCCGATAACGATTAATTTGACGATTAATCCTCTGGAGTCCCTGGATACCCTTATGTCCTAGTCACATGACCAATTTAGTGGGAAAGATTTGCTCTTTGTAAAAACCTTTTTTCAAACTGTCAAAATCACAGACTTCAGGCTATACTTCAAATTTTAAATTGTGTTGATAAATAAATTACAGAACTTTAGTTTAAATGTTCATCATATTTGAAGCGGAGAGGAGCACCGAGCGGACTGACCAGGGAAATCTCCAGCCAGTCTGCGTGGTGGCATTAATCGTATTAATCGTCAAGTGCCAAAACATAATTGATTGTTTTTCTGACGATTAATTGCAGACGATACGATTATGCCCAACCCTATGTTAAAGTCACTCATAAAAAGAACAACATTTCAGGATCTGTTTTTCTACGACCGAATAAACCATTTTCATAAATCTATATCTGTGACCTGACAGTTTAAATGTTTCAACTCAAATCTGCTGTCATTTCAATAAAAACAGAGAGAGAGGTCTCCTGCCTCCAAGAAGGAGAAATAAAATGGTACGCATTTGACGTGTTCGAGGTCTGCTTATCTACTTTTTTAATTGCAATCTGAAATCTTTGACATCTGAAGCTTTGTTATTCTGAGCAAACCTTGTTTAAACCAGCTTCTCTGACCCGAGTGGTACATTTTCACAGAAAAGAGAGAAATGTTTTTAAATTTGAAGCCATTTTTCATTTCACTTTTTAATATAAGCAACTTCTTACAAAAAATGGATTTGAGAGACCTTTATTGTCATCGTACATGAGCACTATGAAATTACAGTATTTTAGTATACAGTATACAGTAATTACAGTAGGATGTCACCTGCATCAAAACCTTCACTTGGATTATTTGATGTAATTTATTTGACAACCTTTTGCAGCCTTTTTATAAAATAGTACTTTTGAATTTTATATCACAATTCTTTGCAAATGTGTCTTAGCCAGAAAAATCAACAAAAACCTGACAAATCCTCAGAAAGACAGCCCATAAAGTCCTGGTTCCTCAAAGCAACCAGAATATGATGCTGTTAACTCCAAAAGGTCCATGATAGATTTCCATGTTTTAAATCCATTCTTTTGGCCTCTTCAGTCTCATTCTCAGTTTATAGGACTTTAGCTTAGCTTACGTTCATGGTTTAATTATTTGACAGGTAGATTCTTGATGATGCGTTTATTACTTCAGGGAATAACCCATCAAAGGAGTTCATTCTGAAATATAAAAATCTCATAAATAAATCAAAATGTTGAGCTTTCAACCGTAGAATATGTCATCCCGAAGTCTCGTCAAAAGAAAGTTTGAGCTGACAGATTGTGTAGTGTTTATAAAGGCTGTATGAACAGAGTTTCCTAAAGGGAACTAAAATCGATAACAGAACAAATGAAAGAATGTCGTAGTATGTTTGTATTTAATGTGTCAAGCCCACGCCATTGCTACTTTGTCAGAAATGGTCAAATGTCATCTGTCTCGGGCAGTTTTTCCAAATCAACTATAAATAATAAATCAATGCCTCAGCCTAATATACAGAAATACATGAATAAAAACGTCTGATTTTTATTGACATAACAGCTTTTTCCTCATCGCCTCTTCTTGACGTTTGCTTAGCTTTGTTTCGCCGCCGTGTTTTCCTCCTTTTGAGCGGCCATGGACAGCACATGCCTTGAATCATCCACACTTTCTTGTTCTGTCCTGGTGACACAGCTGACAGATGGTGCCAAATGTGTGGGACATGACACCAGCTGTTGCTTCAGGAGAATTCAGAGCGGATGCTGCCGTCGCATTAAAAGGGACAACAAAACCTTCGCAGCGATGCATATTGGAGAAGTTTTTTTTCCCCCATCTCATTTACATTTGTCCAAATTACCCTCATACTGTTGTCAGATTTAGCAAAAGAACTCCACACTAAAACAAACTCATTATGGTGCTGTCATGGCACATTGCTGGGTTATAAAATTATTGTGGTTAATCTGTTTGGAAACATTTGATCAATTTGCACCCAACAGATACTGAACATTCAGAAGACTTCCTGTGCAGTCTGGAAAAATATGAAACAACATAAAATTTTTAAATGGAAGGAAATCACTTGACAAATACTCATATAGATTATCAACCATTTAGGTGAATTAAAATGTCAATATATCTCTGTATAGGTGCAGCAGTGGCCATGTCCTCCTTTAGTTTACTAACACACATTTGCAAGACTCTCCTATATTGGTAACCCCCTACTAATCCTTTGAGTTCGTTTTTAAAGAGTGTGTATGGCACATTGCAGACCAGTCCTGTAATTACATCTAATCACAACTAACACTGGGACATTCGACCTACTCGCCCAACTGGAACAAAATTCAGTTTCTCCCACCCGCCTCCCATCAGAAGTCAATAAAATGCTCCTGAGAACAAAAATGACCTTTAGCAGGGAGTCGGAGGAGAATACCAATTCCCCAAAGTTCTACCTTCCTGCTCAGGGCCCCGTCAATACACATCAGAGGATATCGACTGATAACACGTTGGTTTAATCGCTAAAGAAAGTGCCACAGTTTAATTTTTATTTGTGTTTTTAAAGAGTTTGCAGAAGAAAAAATAGTCAGTGTCCACAAAATGCATACAAAAACCCACAAACTTGGAAGAGAAGCTCAAAGTCGTGATTAAAAAAAAGTTTGCAACAGTTTCTAAATTTGTTGTGCTTTTGGATTGCTGTTTAAACAACACAAGACATTTAAAGTTAGTGTTTCCTATGGATCAGTAGTTTTTTGTTTTCCTTATCTTTGATCATTCAAAATGGTGACATGGTATGGTATGATATATGGGCATTTTTTTATTGGCTTTTCTACAATCCCTCAATAATTAAAGTTCTTTAAAACTTCTGAGACTGCTGAAAGCTGCCTCAAATTCTTAAACTATAAAATTTAAACAATTTCCTTCAGGATGTTTTGTTAGTTATTCCACAATACTATTATTCCTGTCAAGAAAGCACGTGGGAATATGATTGGAAGATATTTAGAGATGTATTTTGTTCCTGCTCCTCACAGCCAGGTAAAATGTGTTTAAAAAAAAAGAAATAAATCTAGTTTATTTGGACCATGAGGCACTTCTTCCCTCTAATAACTTGTAAAAAATACTAAATGTCAAAATGTTGTCATGCATTTAGTTTGTTTCCAACTGGCTGACTGTCAGAACTCTCATTTTTGTGGTGTGTGTGTGTGTGTGTGTGTGTGTGTGTGTGTGTGTGTGTGTGTGTGTGTGTGTGTGTGTGTGTGTGTGTGTGTGTGTGTGTGTG